CTCAAAAGCGCTTAAAATGTGCCGAAAAGGTGTATTATTCCGGATCTGAAAACTACCAATTCTAAAATTTGTTTGTGGTTTGATTGGATGGGTTCAATTGAAACTCACTTTTAATATTCAATAATCAGGAATGTTTAATTTTATAAAAAGTGTGTTCAATAATCAATTTCCATAAATATATACATGATAGAATAATTTGAATATAGACTATATCACTAGAATAACAATATTTACAATCCAATTATAAATATACAAAAAATAAATTGACCTATTTCTATCAATTCAATGGGGCCTAAATTTGGACGTATAGGAAATGGACTACGTATACTGTTGACCAATTGGAATGGGGGATTTTATCAGAAATTTAATATTGTTAGCTAACAGTTCTGGTAACGATTTGCATTGTGTAATGACTCAAATGAACAATTTTCTTTTTAAACTGTTTAATGCAAGGGCCAATTATTTGATACGGAAAACGTGTTTTTTTCATTAACTAGAGCATCAGTACCATTCATACACTGCTAAACTTATCACAATATCTACGTTGTTCTTCGTTGGCTCAGTCAGAGCAGAGCTTTTCACCTCTTTCGCTTCGAAACTAGCAATTTGACTCCGAGTCTGTGCGTGGCACTCCCAACTGTTGGCTCACTCTTTGTTCAATTTGCTGAAAATAGGAAAAAACCGTTGCTACCACAAGAAAAATAAAAAAAATCATGGAAGAAACCCGCTACCTGAAGACAATTGCCATTTTCCTCAATGATTTTGAGGCAAATGGGAAGCAACTGAGCGCAAAAAGTGCTGCTTTGCTCAATCGAAGATAGTGAGTTCAAATGATTGAACAGCTTTTGCTCAGTGGCTGCCCAAATGGAAGCAAACTACTTGCAAAGTATACAGGGTGACAATTTGAAAAGTTGCAATAGACTTAGAATAAGTAACACCTAAAAAAGGTACCACATTAGTGTAAGTGTGCGTTTTGGGTTAGCGAAGTCAAGGTCCGTTTGTTTACTCCTCCTTAGAACTTTCCATGCTTCTAAGAAAAACGCCCTACCAAACCTTAGAAAAGCAAAGCGCAAAATCAATATTCCCTATTGGCCAGCGGTGTTCTCCGACTTATCGCCCATTGATTGTAGTTGGGCTCGGTTTAACCAATCGCCCACAAACTGTTACATAACAAGGAAAAGGGTCTGTGTGAGCGATTTTAGTGTTTAAAAACATCATATCCCAGATAGCATTTGATATTCTATGAATATCCCAGAATGTTCAAAAAATATACAGAACATTGCGGGAATATCCTGGGAATATACATGGTTGAA